ACCGCGTCATACTAAAAGACGTTAAAATATGGTACTTGTTGGTCCCTGCCTGGCCCTCGGCATTAATGGGTACAACAAGGACTGGTCGGCTCGGAGTCAGTATAATGTGTCTGAGTGGGGTATTCCTGCTTCACTGCGGCATGGTATCTCAGTGGGCTAGCACTATAAAACCAGCTTAAGTCTGGGTTAGTACAAGCAGCCGCACATACACATACACACGCATGCACGTTGTCATATGAGCGAAATATTCTCAAGAGCGACGTTAAACCCAATTTCACCTCACCTCACCTCTCTTTCTGACCCTCCATACAGCGCCAATGTGATTCAGTAACTGAAGTGCCTCCAAGCTGCCAGGAACAAATTCTATATGTTTGATTCCCTCAGTATGATCCTGTCTTTGCCAGCAGAACATGGATGCTCTCTGCTTTTACCAAAGAGGTAAATGGCCATTACACAACTAAAGACTTTACAACCAGGTGATCTATGTGTCCCGTAATACTTGAAAAGCAGCGTTGGTATCAACATATGTCAACTCATCAGACCCGAAGGAATGAATAGGTCCCCAGAAACCTAATCTGGTCTTAAGATGTGACCGAATGCATTAGGTGAGATATGGGTTAGAATTGATCTTCAGTAACCCATGCTTGTCGTAAGAGACGACTAACGGGATCAGGTGGTCATGCTCGCTGACTTGGTTGACACATGTCATCGAATCCCATTTGTGTAGATCGATACTCATGATGTTGATCACTGGATTGCCGCCATATTGCTGGAATATTGCTGAGTGTGGCTTAAAACTAATTTCACTCACTCACTCACTCACTCACTCACTCACTCACTCACTCACTCACTCACTCACTCACTCACTCACTCACTCACTCACACTCACTCACTCACTCACTCACTCACTCACTCCTCCTCACTCACTCACTCACTCACTCACTCACTAGGTGGTCTGACTAGGTGACTAGGGATATAGCCTGTCATCGTCTAATCAATATTCTAAATATCTATCACTGAATTATTTGGTCCAGGCCCAAACATTTAAAGGCTACCATCATTTAACTGAAAACATGCTGAGTAGGGTGTTCAACAAACAACAACATCCTTTAAGAGGTTCATTTACGATGGGTTCAAGGGTGACATTCTTACAGCGTCATTGATGTTGCCACTGGGTGGACCTGTTGTTCATTAAGCAGATATCGGAGTGGGAGTAATTAGCAGCCCTGGGTGATATGGATGCGTCAGCCAAGGGTGTGTGCTCATTCTGATACTGTTTCTGATGCTGGACAATTAGAGGTAATTAACAACACACAATTAGTTATATCCGTTATTCGGAACTCTAATCATGCACACAGCTCCAAAGTTTTATGTGGAATATAAATCATACTTTGTTTTTCTTCAGTTTGTGTGGTGGTGTGGTGTGGTGTGGTGTGTGGTGGTGTGGTGTGGCATGGCATGGTGTGCGATGTGGCATGAATGAGTGAGTGAGGGAGTGAGTTCCAGTTTATAGTCACAGCGGCAGTATTTCAGCCATATCGTGACTTGAATGGTGTGGTGTGTATGTGTGAAGTGGTGTGTGTTGTGATGTGTGTGATATGTGTGGTGTGTGATATGTTTGGTGTGTGATATGTTTGGTGTGTGATATGTGTGGTGTGTGATATGTGATGTGTGTGATATGTGTGGTGTCAGATATGTATGGTGTGTGATATGTGTGGTGTGTGATCATGATATGTGATGTGATGTGTGTAGTGTGAGATGTGTTGTGTGTTTGGATAGTGTGATTTGATGTTATGTGGTATGGTGTAATATACTTTGATGTGATGTGTGTGGTATTTGCGTGATGTGTGTGTTTTGCATGATGTGATGTTTGTGGTGTGTGTATTGTGTTGTAATGTGTGATGTGTTATGGCATGCTGTGCTGTGGTATGGTGTGTGTGAGGTTAAAATGAGTTGATTTTTAATGGAATGGCCTTGCCTGTTTAAGACAGACTCTGATGCATGAGCATTTTGCATTTTTAACTCCACAACACTGTCACATATTTCACTGTGATGGAATATATTGATGCATGGAATGATGTAAATGTTTTCACAATGTCATCATAGGCCAACCAAAGAAATTGATGATTTCTTCCAATAGCAAACTTTTAAAGTATTCCACAGTGCTGATCAATACCTGTTCATGTTCAGAAGATCCTTACCCAAAATCTGTTTCATTAAAATAAGAGATGAGATTCCAAAAACATATCCTACTTTTATAAATCAAAGTGCTTCAGTTTTGAAACTGTGTAAAAAGATATTTCCATGGGTTATTGAGTATTCAACAATGTTCGCTGTGCTGAAATATCAACATCTGAAGCCAGCTCTCACAACTTTTTCTAATCCGACTTCCAGGAAATGAATGTCCAATAACATCTGCAAAACAGAAAATGCTGAATGTCATCCCATAATTAACTTGCTCATTCCCCGAGATGCATCAATACCAGCTTGTTTTATTTTTTATACAGATTCCTTGCTGAGACCATTGTCTCTATTGCGAGAAGCCTCGTACAGGACCTTGGTCGATACGTACAAGTGTATCACTCTATGTTGCTAATGCAATGTCCAACATTCAAATAGATACAAGTAGGAAGTAATGTGTACAAAATCCACACAAAATGATATTTGTGTGCACAGTAGTCAATTGCTGTAGTCATTTGCTCATTGTCAAGCCAATGATTTCTCCAGGAGGCCCATTACGGCCGGCATATGTTTTCCTTGTTGGTCGGACCCCTGCTGCGAGGAAAGACACAGAACACGGACTGGTATCTAATGCGCCTTATTGAAAGCTCTGGTACAACAACATGGCCCTGTTTGAAAACAGAACAATGACCGGGCTGCCTGCTCATTTATGAAATCTGAGTAGTTCGTATTTTGTTGTGAAATAGCTGTCATTCCAGCAGTGTTAACAAGGCATTCAGAGGGTGTACTTGTGTATGATACTGTTGTTACTGGAGAAAGTGGGTGCGACTCAGTGCAGTCCCAGTCCTCAAAGAGACGATCGTACCAAGTTGTTTGCCTGCAACACAAATTTGACCTAAAAAGACACTGCTCTGCAAATTGCATGTGCAACCACAAATGCACTTGTTCATGCTTGTGTGCGTTAGTGCCGATTGTAGATGATTATGCAGTTTTGTAGTTCATGTTTTTGAAAATTATGAAATGCACGAAAACATCTTAACCTTAACAAATCAGTTTACTGTTATGTTTGTGGGACTCCTTGTCAGCAAACAAGATCAATTTTAAAACAAACAAATGAAACACATATGAACAAAATATGAATATGAAAAGTTGTAACTAATTAGCTTTGGGTCACCTAATATTGTGTCTGGGATACATATGTATGTAATTGGCAATTGATTTAAAAGATACAGACCGTTGTTGAATGTATATTTCGTCAGCATCAATATACATGTCTTCCTCGTTTATATATGTAAACTCTCATTACATCCTTGGTTTCCATAGTTACGTAATATTATGTTAATTGTAATTTATCAGTCATTATGCAAGTATCAGTGTCCTTGAAAATAATTAACAGATGAAGTTAAATGCTAAAATCAGAATAGCTTTTTGCAGTGTCAAGTTTAAATAGCAAACAATGAATGAGTGAGTGAGTTTATTTTTACTCTATTTTTAGCAATATATCAGCAATATCATGGCGGGAACACCAGAAATGGAGTTCACACATTGTACCTATGTGGAGAATCGAACCCGGGTCTTCGGTGTGACGAGCAAGCGCTTTAACCACTACGCTACCCCGCCGCCCCAAATAGCAAACAAAACATTACTTACTCATTATACTGGTTGCGTATTGACAGTTATTTATTTGTTTAATAGAAAGGCAGAGTGTTAGGACACCATACTTGAGTAAGGTGTTGAATGACCGTCAAAAACTTCCTATAACTTGCTGAGAATATCAAAGTCTATTGAATTGTAATGTTCATAGCATCAGACGAGAAATATGATATTCAATGAATAATAGCCTGCCATGCAAAATTGCAAATGTGGTGGTTTCCTGGCAGAGTGAGTGAGTGAGTTTTTCAAGTATCTTTCATCAATATTCCCACTCCATCACCCCAGAAGAGAAAATTATTTAGTCAATTTTAGGGCTGCGCATATAACCGGTTTACGCTGATCGAAAACCGGTAGTTTGACATGCATTCGGAAAACTTCTTAACACTTGGAAATCTTTGGCTATTGCCTTGTTTCATTTGTGCCAAATATTAATTACATTTTTATTTTGTCAGGATTAAAAGTTTTTATTAAAGCTTAATCAAGCATAGTGATTTTGTTGTGTTTTTGCTTTATATATCAAGCATTAACTTAATTATAAGTAGTTTTTTGTTTAAAAAACCTTCTTGCAATATCTTGCAATACATATCGCAATATATGCTTTCGCATTGCAATTTATCGCAATATGAAAATTCTCTGCAATGCCCACCCCTAGTAAATGTGATCATCAACAAACAGAAAGATGCAAAACAACATGGTTGGAAGAAGCAACACAACCTTCATGGTTGGAAGAAGCAACACAGCATGCATACCCTTCATGGTTGGAATAAGCAACACAGCATGCATACCCTTCATGGTTGGAATAAGCAACACAGCATGCATACCCTTCATGGTTGGAATAAGCAACACAGCATGCATACCCTTCATGGTTGGAATAAGCAACACAGCATGCATACCCTTCATGGTTGGAATGAAGCAACACAGCATGCATACCCTTCATGGTTGGAATAAGCAACACAGCATGCATACCCTTCATGGTTGGAATAAGGAACCCTTAAGCAACACAGCATGCATTCCCTTCATGGTTGGAATAAGCAACACAGCATGCATACCCTTCATGGTTGGAAGAAGCAACACAGCATGCATTCCCTTCATGGTTGGAATAAGCAGCAACACAGCATGCATACCATGCATACCCATGGTTGGAAGAAGCAACACAGCATGCATACCCTTCATGGTTGGAAGAAGCAACACAGCATGCATTCCCCTTCATGGTTGGAAGAAGCAACACAGCATTACCCTTCAGCAACACAGCATGCATTCCCTTCATGGTTGGAATAAGCAACACAGCATGCATACCCTTCATGGTTGGAATAAAGCAACACAACATGCATACCCTTCATGGTTGGAATAAGCAACACAACATGCATACCCTTCATGGTTGGAATAAGCAACACAGCATGCATACCCTTCATGGTTGGAAGAAGCAACACAGCATGCATTCCCTTCATGGTTGGAAGAAGCAACACAGCATGCATACCCTTCATGGTTGGAAGAAGCAACACAGCATGCATTCCCTTCATGGTTGGAATAAGCAACACAGCATGCATACCCTTCATGGTTGGAATAAGCAACACAGCATGCATACCCTTCATGGTTGGAGCATTTAGCAAGAATATTAAATCAAAAGGCCTTGGTTCCTGAGCACATTACAATGAAATTTTTATTGTGATGATTGTATGAAAGGAAGCTATAAAAAGGCCATAAAATGTCAGCTGAGAGAAGCTTGAGATAAATATGTACTCTCTTGTAATTTCATGCAAGAAAACAGTATAATAAAACGTTTATTGGGGGTAGAAAATATTCATGTAAGATAAATAGTGAAGATAAATCTGACAACATAAGGCAGATGGCTATTTACAGTTGTAATGGAGAAATCTAGATTGTTTTGCCTTTTTATGTTTGCGTATACATTTACTACACTTAATGTCAGTTCATACAATGAAATGGTAAGCTGGACTGAAACTATTTGCAAAAAATTGAGATCTGTGCTTTTACATGCTTCAGTGTGATCAGTTTACCTTTCAGTAGTGTTGCTTTTCCTTTCAGCAGTGTTGCTTTACCTTTCAGCAGTGTTGCTTTACCGTGCAGTGTGTGTGTGTGTCTTGCAGCAGTGTTGCTTTACCTTTCAGCAGTGTGTGTGTCTCTTGCAGCAGTGTTGCTTTACCTTTCAGCAGTGTGTGTGTGTGTGTGTGTGTGTTGCAGCAGTGTTGCTTTACCTTTCAGCAGTGTGTGTGTCTCTTGCAGCAGTGTTGCTTTACCTTTCAGCAGTGTGTGTGTCTCTTGCAGTAGTGTTGCTTTACCTTTCAGAGGTGTGTGTGTGTGTTTGTGTGTGTGTGTGTGTCTCTTGCAGTAGTGTTGCTTTACCTTTTAGAGGTGTGTGTGTGTTTGTGTGTGTGTGTCTCTTGCAGTAGTGTTGCTTTACCTTTCAGAGGTGTTTGTGTGTGTGTGTGTGTGTGTGTGTGTGTCTCTTGCAGTAGTGTTGCTTTACCTTTCAGAGTGTGTGTTGTGTGTGTGTGTGTGTCGCGTCGCGTGCGTGTGCGTGCGTGCGTCGCGCGCGTGCGTGTGCGTGTGTGTGTCTTGCAGTAGTGTTGTACCTTTCAGTCATGTTTTTCGACACGGTCGGTTCAGTCCCGAGCTACACGCTGTCAATAATGGAAACAGGGCATGAACTGCATATACTCCTATAATAGGTTACTCTGAGTCACAGTTGCATCGGTAGCATATCATTTACCAACCCTGCTTGTAATCATCAACTATGTCATCACGGCTACCATCACAACCAATATGTAATTATATTAGCTGTGGTTTCTGTTTATTTGGGTATTTGTTCCCCATCACATGAGAGTAGACATTGTCCCCAACCACATCAGTGAAGGCACTGTCCCCCACAACATTAGCTTAGGCAGGTGATCTTGCGTAGTCATTTATTACCTTGCCCCATTGTGACTCTGCATCTGAATCTTGAACATTACAATGGCCACATTCTTGAAAACTTGTAGACACATGTTCCATAAACTGTATAGTTAGTTATGCTTTAGCAAACATTGTGTTTTTCAATGACTTTTTGTGCATGCATGCATGCATGCATCATAATTCTTTAGAGATATGTTTTAAATGCCAGGGTATATCTTGTCCTCTGACTTGAGTGGTTATAAGCACGTCAGAACAAGTTGTTTATCTGCATAATAGATGTGAACAGTTAAAGAACTATGAAACAATGCATTATGGCAATAAAAATTCCAAGATTCGGATCATCGTGCAGGGATGATGGGATCGTCCTGGATATTCTTCTTGTGTACTGGGTGTGCCATTGAGGACAGGGTAACCTACTTATGGAGTTAAGAGCAACTGTATCAATTAACCTACAGATGATTGTGGATATTACATGCTCAAACACTTAGGACCCTGCAGACAGTTGGCGTGATCCCCAGGTTGGCGCTGATTATGATCCTAGATTGATCAGAAACATGCACAGGCTCAGATTTTCTGCACAATGGTAAACACAGAATGTCATTCTGATTTGGCAGGTTAAAATATTCATAAAACTCAACACCCTTGTGTTCCAAACTTTATGTATCGTTTGAAATTATCAGCCTCCAGTAGAGTGGAAAGGTTTACCAAAACAAGTTCCAGCTCTTTTCCCATCTTTGCATTAAATCCTGATATGTCTTACAGAGCAGTGGGGTAGTGGTCATGCCAAAGATCCAGGTTTGATTCCCCACATGGGTACATTGTGTGAAGCCCATTTCTGGTGTCCCCCGCCTTGATATTGCTGGAATATTGCTAGAAGCGGCATAAAACCACACTCTCTCTCTCTCACTCACTCACTCACTCACTCATGTATTAAGCCAAATAGTTCCCCTCCTTTCGTGTAGTTTCTGCAAGACCTTTAACTTAAACAGCAATGTTTTTTAAATTATGGAATAAAACTAATTTCTGTAATAAAATCTGATCCAATCTTAGTATTTAAAGCAGTTAAATTTCATCATTGCATCAACCATATTGCCGTTAGCAAAATAGTGAGCAGGTTAGATTTACATCTTTTTTAGCACTGTTCCATATATATCAGAGTGTGGCTCACCAGAAATGGGCCTCACACATTGTACCCATGTGGGGAACAGAACCCGAGACTCTTTGTGTGATCAGCGAATGCTTTAACCACTTGGCTACCCCGCCACTATGTTTATATGAGAAGTGAAGTTACCCTGTGAATAGTCTTTAAAAAAACACATTTTTTGTCCGTTTTTTCTTGTCACCAACCAACATTTTTCAGAAATCCCTATAAACACAATATATTTTCACTTTTTGTCAAACCCAAGCCCTCCATTAGAAAACGACCCCTGTAAACCAAATAATTGATCAAATTGGCCTGTTTTTCTGTAAACAAGTATGTACAGCCTGGCTATGTTTCTGTCTTTGTCCCTGGACAATGCCCCTGGTAAAATTACAGTTTACATACAGCTTACCAAGGTGAAGGCCATATTTAATAATGTATGTAACACAGTTAGTTTCGATGCCTGACAAACGATGGGAGGTGAAGCTTGATGTGTGAGTGGCGATGGTGGATGAACAGGCAGTTACTGGAGGGCATTTATAACTAATAACATAACAGTGTCAGAATTGTAGTTTCGAAGGCCAGTCAGCAAAAGTGTTCATGTTTTATTAAAGAGTTAATGTGATCAGTTATCACTTATCAGAATTGTAATTCTATATGTTACAGAACTTTGCGGATTCAAGTTTGACTAGGATGTTTTTGTAGTAATGAGTCTTTGAATGTTATCAGATGTATTTCTGAGGTTGGATTATTTATGAGTGAGTGAGTGAGTTTGGTTTTACGCCGCTTTTAGCAATATTCCAGCAATATCACGGTGGGGGACACCAGAAATGGGCTTCACACATTGTACCCATGTGGGGAATCGAACCCGGGTCTTCACGTGACGAGCGAACACCTTAACCACTAGGCTTCCCACCGACCCTATTTATGAGTGAGGGGGTAGTCTTTGTACATGGTAAGTGAGCCCATGTTTTGTATGTAGACGTAGAAGTAATTACTATCAAATACTGTAGACATTTTGTAACTTTACATCCGGCTTCACATATTTGTTTACCTCATAAAGTTAGAATTGGTCTTCAGGAAGCCCTGCCTGTCATAGGAGGCAACTAACGGGATCAGGTGGTCAGGCTCACTGATTCTGATTTGATGTAGAAAAACTTTGCTGTTCATTTTCTTCAATTCTGGGGACACTTGGCCTTGATGTGCATCTGTTGTATAATATTTTAGTTTCTTACTTGTGTGTTGTGGTACTATTGTTAAATCCATTGCTCTCCCAAAGTATTTGTCATAATCATAAATGAATTTTGATGCTTAGATGAAATAAATAAACATCACATACATCTATTCTTTGTCAGCATTTATTTTCAAATATTGAAAAAATATCTGATTAAAAACTGAACTAGTATGTATAAAGTAAACATTGTATAGATGTATAACGTTTTACTAAAATACACGTTTTTTTTATGGGGCCCTTTTGACTAGGGGTCTGGGGCCCTTTTGACTTTTTTATGGGGCCCTTTTGACTCGGTGTTTGCCGCCCTTTTGACTTTCTAGTGGCCCTTTTGACTTTTCCATTTGGGGCCCTTTTGTCATACAGCCCTTTAGACTAGGACCCATCTTCAGTAACACATGCTTGTAAGAGGCTACTAACGGGATCAGGTGGTCAGGCTCGCTGACTTGGTTGACACATCTCATCGTCATCCCAATTGTGTAGATCTATGCTCACGCTGTTCATCACTGGATTTTCTGGTCCAGACTTGATTATTTACAGACCGCCGCCATATAGCTGGAATGTAGCTGAGAAACAACAAACAAACATATTTGCTACATATTTAGTTTCAGCTTTTATTTAAATGAAGCATTTAATTAATCTATTAATGATACAATACAAGACTGCAGCCTAGACTTAGTGATTTAGTCATCTGATGTATCAATGCCATCTTGGTTGTCTTGTCTGTCTGATTTCAATTTGGACAAATTGTTTCCTTACAAGGCGGGGCAGTGGGGTAGCCTAGTGTTTAAAGCGTCCACTCATCACGACGAAGACCCCGTGTTCAGTTCCCCACTTGGTTACAATGTGTGAAGCCCATTTCTGGTGCCCCTGCCATGATATTCCTGGAATATTGCTAAAAGAGGTGTAAAACCAACTCACTCACTCACTCATTACAAGAAAAACATTACAAAACATTGAATACTTCAAATGTGATTAGGGGCCGTGAGGTAGCCTAATGGTTAAAGCATTGGCTCGT